TCAGCAGCAAGTGCTCAACTTTTTTATCCAAAACCACTATACCATCGAATTGATCTTCACGCCGTCGGCCGCCTAGCAAGTATATATAATACCAATTGTGACCTCTTGGGCTTTTTATCAAAACTCTAGTTGCCACTAAGCAAATTATTAAATATCTATCAGGCCTCCAAAAGTTAGGTATAATATATTAAAAATATATTATAACCAACGCCAAATCAAACTAAATATTTTAATAAACTAATTGGGTCCCATACTCCATTAAGGAGGTATACCCAACAATTTTCTCATGGAGAATTTGAAGGAGCTAATGAAGAGCAATATTGATTTGATTGTTGATGAGAAGGATCAAATTGAATCTCTTTACCAAAAGTTTGGGTTCCTGAGAAGCTTCCTCAAGGACTGAGAGGACAAATTCTGTGAGGCTAAGAAAGTGAGTAACATGGTGAGACGAATTAGAGATTTGGAAAATGAGGTAGAAGATAACATTGATTTCTTAGTTGTTGAGGTTATCTTGAAGGATACTTATACATCAGGCAAAGTCGATCATGTATGTGATCTCTCTTTGAATCTTGGCAATTTCAAAGAAGAGATTGAGGCCATTAAAACATAGTTGATAGAGATTTATGGCAAGAAGAGTCATGACATTGAGGCCATACAAGAAAGGAAGCGTTCCCACGGAGATTTCTCGAGAACAAAGAGCATTGTGGAGGAGGAAGAAATAGCGGTGGGTTTTGAGGATGAGGCCTTGACAATAAAAAATCGACTTATTAGAGATCAAAAGCAGCTAGATACTATCTCGATTGTGGGGATGCCTGGACTAGGTAAAACAACTCTAGCAAAAAACGTGTATAATGATCCTTTGATAATATATCACTTTCATATTCGTGCATGGATCAATGTTTCCCAAGAATACTGGAAATGAGATGTGTTACTTAGTCTATTTTATTCTATTAGCCCCCATACAAGTAGGGCTAATTCAGCTGGCCAAAATTCTTGCACTTAATTAGGAGGTCAAGGGTTCGAGTTTGGTGACATGCAAAACTTTCCAATCCCAGACTATGGCCTTCTATGTGCTAAAGGAAAAAAAAAAGAGTAAATGAAATGAGTGATGAGGAATTAGCTGACAAGCTGAGAACAAGCTTAAAAGGTAAGAGGTATCTCATTGCGATGGATGATGTTTGGGATACTAGGGCTTGGGTTGATTTGAAAAGTTTATTTCCAAATGACAACAATGTAAGCAAAATTATGTTCACTAGTCGGTTCACAAATGTGGCTTTGCAGGCTAACACCAATACTCCACCTCTTTTTTTAAGTTTCTTAATTGAAGATGAAAGTTGGGATCTCTTACAGAAGAAGGTGTTTCGAATAGATTGGTGCCCTCCAGAGTTAACGTCTATTGGAAAGAAAGTGGCAATAAAATGTCAAGGACTGCCACTTACGATTGTTGTGGTAAGTAGAATTTTTGCATATATAGAGAAGAGTTAAGACCAATGGAAACAAATTGGAGAAATCATAGATTCATGTTCTGTTAGTGATCTAAAACTATACATGGAAACATTTGCATTGAGTTATAACCACTTACCTCATCACTTGAAATCATGCTTCCTCTATTTTGCAACATTTCCCCATGACTTTGAAATCCCTGTGTAGAAGCTGTCACGATTATGGGTTGCTGAGGGATTCATACGAAATATTTGGGAAAGGAGCTTGGAGGATGTAGCAGAGGAACACTTGATGGATCTAATAGGTAGAAACCTCATATTAGTTTCAAAAAGGTCTGATGGCAGAATCAAAGCTTGCATTATCCATGATCTGTTGCACAATTTTTGCCTCAAAAAGGCTAAGGAAGAGTATTTTTTACAGCGAATTTTGAGTCTAATTTTTTTTTTCTCTTCTTCTTCAACATCAAAGCATTGTTCACATATGCGTCGTCTATGCTTTGGTTCAAACACTTAGCGAAATACATACCTAATCCCATCGCTGGCTTAAACATCCGCTATTGCTTGTGCTTTCTCTCTAACTACATTCGCTTTGATCCCCATGTATTTCTTTCTCACTGCTTCAAACTTCTTCGGGTGTTGGATGTAATTTATATAGATTTTCTTGCATACCCTAGTGAGATAGAATAACTTGTTCTCTTGAGGTACTTAGCACTTGATATTCTGTGGAACCTCGTCACTGGTGAACATTCTAGACACTACTTACCAACTTCAATATCCAATCCAAGGAATTTGGAAACCCTTATTCTTCTTACACCAGTTGTATATGTTAGTTTACCGCGGAGTATTTGGAAGATGGTAAAATTGAGGCATATTTTAGTTAGTGGACGAGGGATATATTGTAATTCAGAGCTTATGTCCTAATGATCACTTTCCCTTATCATTGGATAACCTACAAACTCTCTCTTATGTAGATCCTTGGTCTTACAAGGATATTTTATCCTGTATCTCTATCATTGGATTTTCATGGTGCTATTTTTAAATGTTTGGAAATGTTAAGTTTCTTGATATAAGCTGCCTAAACTATCACCGAAAGTTGAAATTGTGTTCCAAAGATGATGGATTGAATTTCAATGATCTTATAAGTATTAAGTTCCCACCAAATCTTAAACAACTAACTTTGAAGGAAGCATATATAGAGTGCGATGAGGTTTCAATCTTGGGAAAGTTACTACCCAATCTTGAGATTCTCAAATTATCTGGAATTTATAGAGTGCGATGGGCTTGTGATGCAAGCGAGGTTTTTCCTCGACTTAAAATTTTAAAATTAGAGGGCAGGATGATTGGGAGTTGGCAAGTTTCTAGCATTTACTTTCATAGCCTTCAGCGATTAGTGCTTTTTGGATTTCAAGACCTTGATATGTAAAGGGGCTAAATATGAAATGGATCGAATCCAAGCCTTGGGCCGGTCTAATCCACTAAAGCCCAAATCCAAGTGGGTTAGATGAACATATGGGCAAGCCAATTAAGCCTAACTCCATTACCAACAGCCCACCCAAGTCCTCAAGCACTTGGGCCCAACTCGCAGTGAAAGGGCCAGTCCAGCTGCGATACTGGGCTAGGGCCGAACTGCAGGACTCATTTTATGGGCCGAACTGATGGGTTTAACCCACCATCAGAACCAAAGTGGGCCGAGTTCCATACACAGATACCCGAATGGGCCAGCCCATCCCTACAGTAGTCTCGCAAAGGGTCGAGCTGAGGCATAACGGTATCGAGCTAAGGTACAACGGTACCGAGTTGAGGGAACCTCTCAGAAAAACGTGGAAGCTGTGAGTATATGCATGTGCAAGATGCCACCTCAGCTGGTCCCCCACACCTAGAATCACGGAAACAGTTAAACCAGAGGAATGTGCTTTGTTATCAACATGACTACAATGAATATATGTACCCCTTGACAACTACCATATGGTCCCCCACCTTGAGCAATGCTAAAAGGAAACTTGACAGCACCAGAGCTCCATGAAACCATCTTGGACAACAAGTAAGGAGTTCTATATAACCCACACTAACTTCACATTGAAGGTAACTGATCTAAGCTGAACCCTACTTATTAAAACCCAACTCTCTACACTTGGAGGGCACTTTACTTTTTCTCCAATTACTTATTCCTACACCGGAGGGGTTATCCGGCTAACCCCGGTCGGGTAGCTCTCACGGTGCTTCTTGCTGCAGGGACCTCACTTCCTGGATAGCCCAGTCGAGTGCGGAGCTCTGATCCACTTTCATCTAGTGCGGTATCCAGTATGCATAATTGGTGCAGTGAACGTGGAAGCATCGTCTCCGAGTTCTACACTCGATTCCAGCAATGGGGATTGAGGACATCCCACCTTCGGCACATACTCCACAGACGGAGAAACAAAGGAAAAAGGCTTGGTACTCCCAACAATCTTAGAAGAACAAACCGGGAACAATAACCGGACCCCCAAATCTGTTGAGCATCGATTGCCCTTCGCTAGAGGTTCTTCTCATCACTTTCTTCTGGAAAAGGATTACAGAGATCGAATCATAGACTCCATGGGGATAGACATACAGGAGCTGAAAGCGCAACTCAAAAGGGTGTTGGGCGATTCGACGGAAAAGAGGACTGACGCAGAGCCCTCTCACCTGCGACAGAGAAGCTCGTCCAGAGAACCACCAGTAAAGAAGATCCCCAAAAAAGAATCTAGACAACAGAGCTAGCCAATCTCGGTACAAAGTAAGGTGGTGAGCAGCCACACCCGTGGGTCACGTCGGAGAAGGGCTACGAGGCAGAAGACGGTTAGCCAATAGACTGAGTACCCTCCTCAAGACCTTCGTACTTGGCTAATTGGTAACAAGCAGAATGAGCAATGTTGAGATCATCTAGATCGTACCATCCACCAGAGAAAGCACTAAGAATCCGGACTTCGATGGTTCGATCGACTCCCCGTTGGATTAATTTATGACTGGAAGCAGCTTTCGGAAGAGTTCTTAGCCAGGTTTGTCTCCAAGACTAAGATCCCGAAAGAGCCAGATACACTGTTCGGTCTCCGAAAGGAATAGGAAGAAACACTGCGCAATTATGCCAGGAGGTATTGGGAAGAATATAATGACCTAGAGGAAAACGTTTGCAGCGAGCAGATGACTGTTATGTCCTTTAAACATGGTCTGCGCCTGGAAAGTAAGTTGAGACAGTCACTTACCAAGGGCCCGCCCACAGTATTAAAAGATTTGTGTGCTAGGATTGAGCAGTACGCTCACCTCAAAGATGACCAGATCACCATCGAGGTAGCATCAGTAGAACAAACTGCTCGGCACAAGAAGAGAACGGACCGAGGGGAACAATGGGGACTCACAGTGAATGAGGTGGATAAGTCCAAATCTCACGAAGCAGTCGTGACCGTATTCAAGGAACCAATCTATCGTATCTTGGAAAAGATCAAGAGAGAGCCCTTCTTTATTTGGCCGCCGAAAATTTTGGGAGATCCGACTCAGCGTAATTAGAAGCTTAAATGCACCTATCACCAAGACAGGGGGCATATGACTCAGAATTGTAGAGCACTGAAGCAACACCTGGAAGATCTAGTAGCAGCTGGACACCTCCGAGACTACATTGATCAGGATAAAGTAGTGGCCGAATCGGGGAACCCACCACCAGAACCAAACATCGAGCACCCACCTCGGCTGGTAATAAATGTCATCCATGGAACAATGACCCAGGAGCGCGAAGAGGCACTAAAAGAAGAAATTGCTAAGGCTGTGCAAATTCAGCAGGTCATGTCAGTAGAGCCCACATCGAAAAAGGTACGTACAGTACCCAAATCTCCCTTGTGCACTGTTTCGTTTACTAGAAAGGATTTAGAAGGCATACAACACCCACATACTGATGCACTGATTATAACTGTGAGATTAGGGAAAAGGTTTGACGTAAAACGAGTCCTGGTAGATCAAGGCAGTGCAGCAGATATATTGTATTATGACTTGTTCAGAAAGCTTGGTCTCTCTGAACAGCACCTCACCCCAGCGGCAGCTCCATTAGTCGGCTTCAATTCACAGCGTGCACTGTTTCGTTTACTAGAAAGGATTTAGAAGGCATACAACACCCACATACTGATGCACTGATTATAACTGTGGGAATTGGGAAAAGGTTTGACGTAAAACGAGTCCTGGTAGATCAAGGCAGTGCAGCAAATATATTGTATTATGACTTGTTCAGAAAGCTTGGTCTCTCTGAACAGCACCTCACCCCAGCGGCAGCTCCATTAGTCGGCTTCAATTCACAGCTAGAATGGCCACTCGGCAGAATAGTGTTGCCAGTTGTGGCAGGAATGAAGACCCTCCAGATAGAGTTTTTAGTTATTAATACACCTTCTCCTTACAACGCCATACTTGACCGTCTATGGATTCACCAAATGGAGGTGGTTCCTTCAACCTACCACTAGCTCATCCGTTTCCCAACGGAACACGGAGTAGAGCAGATCTCAGGGGATCAAGTTACATCCAAACATTGCTTCATGGCGGCAATAAAGGCTAAACAACTTTGAAACCGGGTACAGACAGTGGAAGCGGCCTCACAGCTAGTCTTAGAAGATGTAGGAAGAGCAGAGGAAAAGATGGTAGAGGATTTGGAGAAAGTCCTGGTAAAAGAGGATGATCTAGAAAAGTACTTCCTTATCAGTACCTCGCTAGGCGCTGATGAGAAACTTCAGCTGCTAGAATTGCTGAGGAAAAATATGGAGGTATTCGCATGGTCAGCATATGATACTCCAGGGTTGAACCCAGAATTTGCTTGCCGCGAACTCAACATCAATCCCTCCGCTCGGCCTGTCGTGCAGAAAAGTCGGAGATCCTCAGTTAAGCACACTGAAGCGGTAATTGCCGAAGTCGAAAAGCTCCTAGCATCAGGAGCGATTAGAGAAGTTCAATACCTACAATGGTTGTCCAACACAGTTGTAGTCAAAAAGAAAAATGAAAAATGAAGAGTCTATGTTGACTTCACCTGCCTAAACAGAGCTTGTTCCAATAATAGTTTTCCTTTACCTCGCATCGATCAAATAGTGGATTCAACAGCAGGTCATGAGCGTATGAGCTTTCTGGATGCTTATAGCGGTTATCACCAAATACCACTGTTCGACCCAGATCAGGAGAAGACAGCGTTTATCACTCCAGGGGGCACTTATTGCTACAAAGTAATGCCGTTCGGCCTCAAGAATGCCGGGGCAACCTACCAGCGAATGATCACTCAAATATTCAAGGATCAACTTGGAAAAACCATGGAATCTTATATAGATAATATGGTAGTAAAAAGCAAGCTCGCTACAAACCACCTCGTAGACTTAAGAGAAGTTTTTGACATCCTGAAAAACTATCAGCTTCGCCTTAATGCCTCAAAATGCGCTTTCGAGGTAGGAACAGGGAAGTTCTTGGGATACATGGTCACTCATAGAGGAATCGAGGCAAATCCGGACCAAATCAAAGAAATACAACATCTTGAAGTACCAACAAAGGCTAAAGAGCTACAGAAGTTGGCCGGAATGGCGGTTGCCCTGAATCGGTTCATCAGCAAGTCTTCAGATCGGATGAAGCCCTTCTTCCAGCTACTGAGAAAAAAGGCAGCATTTGAATGGAGTCCTGAATGTACCGAAGCATTGCAAAGTCTCAAAAGATACCTCAGTACACCACCTCATCTGTCCACTCCAGAACCAGGGGAGGAACTGTGCTTATATCTGGCAGTCTCAGACCACGCCGTAAGCGCGGTATTGATTCGAGAATTTAACAAGAAACAGAGGCCAGTATAGTATGTTAGAAAGACTCTACTAGATGTTGTGGCATGGTATGTACCCTTGGAAAAGTTAGCTTATGCATTGCTTATCCCCTCAAGAAAGTTGCAACATTACTTCTAGGGGCATACTATCAATGTCCTCACTGAATTCCTTCTCAGATCTAACTTCAGTCGAGCTGATTTCTCTGGCCGAACAACAAAATGGGCGGTAGAGCTTGGTGAGTTTGACATTCGATATCAACCCAGGACAGGAATCAAGGCCCAGGTCTTGGCAGATTTCATCGCAGAATTCGCTCCCACCCAGAGTACTGAGCCTGAGAACTCTGGTTCGGCATAGGCGCCACACACCACCGAACTAGGAGAACAATGCGCTTCAGAAGCATGGAAACTCTTTATTGGAAACATCTGGCAGCTCTATGTCGATGGATCATCCAATAACCGAGGTTCGGGAGCAAGGGTAGTACTTATGTCACCAGAAGGGTTTATTTGGGAGCAAGCTCTAAGTCTCGGCTGGAAAGCTTCAAATAATGAGGCGGAACACGAAGCGCTGTTGGCTGGTTTACACAGTGCCGAACACTTCAGTGCAGAGCAACTTATTGTTTTCAGCGATTCGCAATTGGTGGTAAACCAGCTTTCTGGGGTCTATGAAGCACGAGACGAACGAATGACTATGTATGCAGGCAAGGCCAAGGATCTACTCAAAAAATTTCGATCCATACGAGTGGAACGGATTAGTCGGGACAAAAACAGCCATGCCGATGCTCTGGCCTACCTCGGCTTATCAGTAGATACCAAAGACGCTAGAAAAGTTTGGGTTGAGTTCGTGCCAGAACCCAGTATTGTATCTCCAGTCCTCTACAGCAACCTAGAGCCAAGCTGGATGGATCCGATACTTGCTTTTCTAAAAGCTGACACTCTCCTCAAAGATAAAAAGGAAGCTAACAAAATCCGACATAGGTCAGCTCAGTTCTGGGTCTCACCATCTGGGAAGCTATACAAACGTTCCTATCTCGGTCCTTACCTTTTATGTGTGCATCCAAATCTGGTTGAAAATGTTCTCTATGAAATTCATGATGGAATTTGTGGATGCCACGTTGGCAGAAGGTCACTGGCGCACCGAGCCCCTCACTGACGGGTACTGGTGGCCACGGATGCAACAAGATGCACAACAGTACATTCAGAAGTGCGATAAATGTCAGAAGTTTGCTCCACTAATTCATTAGCCAGCCAAAACTCTCACCCCACTCACCAACCCATGGCCTTTTGCCCAATGGGGTCTGGATATTGTCGGACCATTGGCACGAGACACTGGGAACAGGCGATTCTTCATCGCTGCAACCGACTATTTCACTAAGTGGGTTGAAGTCGAAGCCCTGGCAAGTATCAAAGAAGCAGACACAAAGTGGTTTGTCATGAGGAACGTTGTGGTCCGTTTTGGCATCCCGCGGGTACTGATTGTAGATAATGGAACATAGTTTGATGGAAAGATCTTCAGAAAGTTTTGTACCGACCTCAAAATCGAATATCGGAACTCTTCTCCAACCTACCCACAAAGTAATGGGCAGGCAGAAGCGTCGAACAAAACCATCATCAACGGAGTAAAGAAGCGGCTGTAGGCACCCCATTTTTGACCGACCTTAAGACTCAGACGTCATCGATTGAGCACTCGGTGATTGTGCATGTTGTGCTCGTTTTGAGATTTCCAGAGTTTTTGGCTGAGAGCCTTGCCTCCGGGCCTTTGAACTCTTTGTGCTTTGGCTCGATTTGTGGACTGAACCTTGTTTCTCTTCCCTAGAGGGAGGGAATGGTCTTGTAGACCATCTCTTTGTGGTCGTAGACCACTTTTTGTGGTCGTAGGCCACTTTTCCCGTTTGGAGACTAGTTTTCGATTTTCGGAGTCTTTGGCCGCGCGCCTTGTCTTGAGACCACTTAACGTTCTCCGTTTGGCGTGGTTTTTGAACCACACCTTGTTGCCTCTGCCTAGAGGGACACTGTGGTCTAGGAGACCACTTTTGTGGTCGTAGACCAGTTTTGATGCCCGTAGACTAGTTTTTAAGGTTTTCGGTCGCGTGCTTTGCTTCCCGATCTCTCGTCTTGCATCCGTTTTGGTTTGTTTTTGGTACAAACCTTGTTTTCCTTATTTGGAAGGTGGTACAAGGTTGGGAGAGCAGTTTTTCCCCTTGGAGATCACTTTTCCTCCTGCCATCCAGTTTTTTGGTCGGATAACTGGTTTTCTTGGTCTTTAGACCATCTTTTCTGGTTGGCTACCATACCACCACCTTACTTTCAGTGTGTAGACCACTCCCACCTATGGCCGACCTGTTGTCTTCTTGGGAGACCACTTGAAGTGGTTGGCCGACCACTTTAAGTAGCTGGCTGACCACTTCAAGTGGTCGGCTGCTTTTTGTCACCTTTTTTGAGATATTTTTGGCCAGCTGGCACAGCTGGAGAGTACAAGAACCATCCTCCATACACGTGCATGGAAGGATGGCCTTGAGCCTTAGCTTCTTCAAGAAGCTTGTGCTTTTGCTCTCTATAAGAGGGAGGCTCCCCCTCCCTCCTCTAGGGTTAGAAAAATTGGCTTAAGAGTTATATATATAGCTTTGTCTTTATATTGCTCTTCCTCTTCATTTTTGTGCCTTAAAGTGTAGTTTTGTCTTACTTTAACACACAAACACACATTCAAACACCATCCTTTTGTTGCTGAGGTGCTTAGGAGCTGGTTTTGGTGTTCTTGGGTTGATTTGAGCTTGGAAACCTGCTGGAGTTGCAGCCTTGAAGAGGTTCTACAAGGGTGAGTTTCTAACCCTTAAAACCCCCATTTTTACTTAAGCTTTTAGCCCTTCTTGCATGCTGTTTTAAGCTTAACTCTTAACTGGAAAAAGTTCTATTTTTGCATGCTTAAAAAGTTTGTTTAAGGTCACTTTTTCGTTGGGGGTGATCTGCCCCCTCTTAGGCCTTGCTAGGCCTTGTTTTGAGCCATCCCTTTAGGCTCTTGTTGTAGCCTTTGCATGACCTTTCTACCACTGAAATCCAGAGGATTTTCAGTGATGGAAAAGTGGTTTTAGAGTCCTAAATAGGAGAGGGTCATCCCCTCTCCTTGTGCTTTGTATACTTGTTTCATATGCCTCATGTTTGAGCATGTTTGTTAAGCTTGTGTTGGCTTGTTCTTAGCATGTATTTGGGGGTATTTCAGCATGCCTCAGATCTGTTTTGACTTGGTTTGGTCATTCCATGCATGCCTTATACACTTGTAGTGTAAATCTTACAAACTAGCTTTGTGTGCCTCATGTTTGAGCATGTCTTTCTAGCTTGTTTTGGGGCCATCTCAGTAGGTTTTTGGTATTGTTTTAACATGCCTTAGATCTGTTTTGGGTTGGTTTGGTTGGCTCTTGCATGCCTTATACACTTGTAGTGTAAATTTCACAAACTAGCTTTGTATGCTTCATGAAGTAGTATGTCATTTTAGCTTGATTTGAGTCTATTTCAGCATGTATTTGGTGATGTTTTACCATGTCATACCTCTGTTTAGGTTTGGTTTGGTTGGCCTTTGCATGCTCCTTGCACTTGTAGTGCATTTTCATGAATTAGTCTAACATGCATCATGCTTTAACATGTCATTCTAGCACGCTTTTGGCTTAACTTCAAGAAGCTTTTGTCCATGTTTTATCATGCTTAAGCTCTAATTTGTGTTGCTTTGGTCTTGTATGACTTGCTTTGTATAGCCATGGTTCAATCTAGCTTGTTAGCTTTGTGTATTGAGTCTACTAGCATGCATTACTTGGACTATTTTAATGATTTGGCATCATTTGTAATGTGATTTCAATTCATGTTTCATGTCCATGTATTCACATTTGTCACTTATTCAATGCATTGGAGGATTTTCCCTTTTATTCCTTAACATGGGTCATTGCGTATGCCTTCATGCCTAAGCTTGCGAGCTATCATTTCAATGTGTTTTTGAGGTTATTATGCCATGATATAACTCCGATTTTTGTTGCTTAAGTCATTCCATGCTTGGTCTTAATAGGTGTAGTGTAATCCACCATATTTGCCTTGTATGCATCACACCTTATGCCCTTCATGCTAGCATATTTTGGCTTCCTTCCATACATGTTTTAGTATCATTTTGACATGTTCTAGGACTGTTTGGGGTTGCCTTAGCCATATGCTTCATGTTTTGCATAGCTATAATACAAGTGCTCTTGCTAGCCTCAAGCCTTGAGCACCATTGCATGCTTCATTTGTCATGTACTTGATTTGGCATCATTTAATACTTGATTTCAGAGCATGTAGCATTGCCATGTTCCCACTTCATTCACTCTTTAAGTGCCTTTGAGTGTTGTGCATTGTTGCCTAGTTTATGGCTTAGCTTGTATGCTTGCATGCCTAGGCCTTTGGGCCCCCATCTCAGCATATTTTGGTCTTTGTTTAGACCTATTTAAGCTCTGTTTGTAGTTAGTTCATGCATTTGTGCCATGTATTGCATGCCCCCTTTGTAGTCCTATTTACTAGCTTCATTCTTTAAGGACCTTTGCATGCTATGCTTGTGTTGATTGAGTGATTTGACATCATTTCATATCTTATTTCAATGCTTATGGTGTTGTCACACTTCCACATTTGTCAATCCTTGAGCACCTTTGAGAGTCGTGTACTTATGCCTTAATTCTTGAGCCAATTGGCATGCATGCTTGTCTTGCTTTCATGCCTTCATGTTTTATCATTATGGCCACTGTTTTGGGCATGGCTAAGGTCTGTTCATTTTGGTTTAAGTCCATTATGAATGTTTGCTTTCATATTGTTTGCATGCTCACATTGCATCATGTTGTTGCAAGCTTAAGTTGCCTTGCATTGTGTATGCATGCATTAGCATTGTTCGCATGCCATTAGCTTTGTTAAGTTGATCATGTCACATTGCATTGAGTATGCCATGTTGTTGTTAGCATTGTGTATGCCATGTAGTTGCATTGTGTTTTGCATGCTTAAGTTACATTGCATGTTACTTGATGCTTGCATTGTTGTTTGGATTAAGTGCTAATCCGAGCACGAGAAATGAGGGACGTTTCATACTTGAAGTGATGAAACGTGTCTCAATTCTCAGTCGCTGACGCTTTTGATCATACATGATAGAGTTTTAGGCTTTATGTGTTTACTTGTGCATTCATTTCATATTGAATTATGCAATTTGACTTCTCGACCATCATGCATTGAGATGCGCAATTGGTGGCCCGAGGGTCGAAAACTATACTCCCTTGAGTTCATGACATGATAGAGAGGGTGGTTATGCACACATATCTTGCAAATACATTGCCATGCCCTTTCTTGCTCTCTGTTGCAGCAAATTGGAGTTTGGCAGCAACAACTAGTCGGCCAGCCAGAAAAACTAGCTGGCCGACCACTTTTTCTGGCTTTCAGCAAAGATAGGTGGTCGGCAGTGGCTGGTGGCATCCATAAGTGGTCGGCCACCCTCCCACAGGTTTCTCAAGGTGGAGTTTCATCTTTTTGGAGCTTGGTGAAAGGTTCTGAGGACATTTGCAAACAGAGGCAAAACGGGGCATTGCGTTGGATTTCCAAACGAGGCAACCGGGCATGCATGCACTCTTCTCCCTCTGAGGCTCCTGTTTTTATTACTTTATTTAGCTAAATTGCTTAGCTAGTTTATGCTTTGGTTCTGTACTTAATTAGTTAATGCGTTTAACTATTCGATTTGTTTTGTAATAATTAGTTAACTAGGATTAGTTAATTAGTTTGTTTTGTAATAATTAGTTTAATTAGCTTAGATTAGCTAGTTAGCTTCTTATTCGGACTCTCCGTCGAGAGGCCCAACTGTTGTAATAAACGTGCGTGTGTGTGATGCATGTCTTTCAACCCCCATTTCTTTCTCCCTTTTACTTAACTGTTTACGATGGTTAGTTTTAGGACATGTTTCATTTATCATACCTTATGCTTTGCATGTGTGCATCCATTCATCTGTTTTGCATGCACCAGGCTTGGCGCATCATATTAGCTGCATTGTATTTCAATTCCAATTTGAATACATGTTATCAATCTGCATTTCACATGCCATCTTAGAATAGCCGAGCCTATTTTAACTGCATTTTGCATGTGTTGCATTAGCCATCTTAACATGAACTAGGATCATGTATGATTTCTAACTAGTTCTCTGTTTTGGCTCGGAGTACACTGTTTACGCTTTAGCATACTACATGTGTGTTAATGTTGCCATGAAAGCATGCTTGCCATGAGGCTAATTGCTTATTTGATATAATTGCCTGAATGCTTATGGGTGAAGGCTGGATTACTTGAATTGGAACAATTCATTGAATCTCGAATTTAGCCTACTTGCGAGTAGCAAACTTCAAACTATTTTCAAACAAACGGATATGCAATGTTTTGTTCCAACTTAGGCGATCTAGTCTATACTTGTATACTGTGCGCATCACATAGTAATTCTAGGTTAAATAACCGGAATAAG